TATGATCACTTGGTGATCAAAACACGTGTCGAGATGTTAACAATAACGGTTTGGTGTTGGGATAAAAATCCAGTAATATTCAATATTTATAATATTGAAAATGTATTGATGAAAAACCCTTCAAAATAAAAAATATATACAAAAAAATAGGTGAGAACAGGAAAACTCTCAGAAAATGTATGTCTGAGGATTCAATTTTACAAATATTAAATGTCTACAGTTGACGTTGGTGTGTCCATGTTGTGAAAACATTTTTAATAGTTGTAGTGGGTTTGTAATCGTAATGGAGATCATGCAACTGGAGAGTTTTGAAGTGATAATAACCGTTATCCTACGAATTTCTTGAACTATGATCAAAATTCTCTTCGTCGGCGGATTCTTCAAACTTATGTTTAATTCATAGTTTTCTTGATGACTTTTAATAATAACACTTCAAATATGAAAAGTATAAAGTTATACTGCTTTGAATTTATTTAACCAACCAATATGATCGACATTCGTTGATTGGTTGTGACCTCCATTGTTTTAATAAGGAGACAACTGATTTGAAATCCATGAAAAGAAAACGTCTCATATCAGCGATGAAGAGAAAACCATCAATATTCTACCTGCAGACAAGGGATTGCAGGTAGAATTTACCGTTGCAATGAATGCACAAAGATTGCATGAGACTAACTTCATTGATAAATAGGAACCTAAAAACTGAAAAGAAAGAGAAAAAATTAACTCGTCTATAAAAGTGTGGATACTAACCATCAAAATATTGTGAATTAGCTTAGTTTCAATTTTTTTCATCACCATGGTTTCTCTTAAATTTTTATTGATTTTTTATTTTTGTTTACCCCATTTATTAATATATTTCCATTTCAGGACACAATCATTTGTTTTCTTTACAAACTAGCGTCCTTACATTTGGAAATTTTATACTTATTGTTTGATTGTTTGTTTTTTCTCATTTTTTGGTACCATTTCTTTTTTTAACTAATTCATCTGAATATTTCGGTGTTGGTGTTTTCATAGTTTTCAGATTATCACCGGTATCCTACATTTTTCATTAGTTGCTCACTCAATAATGAGTATATAAACAGTATAGGTACTTATTTCAACAATTATTTCAGGGAAACGTTGTGAATACTTGACAAGTCTCAGTTTTATCCATAACACGTCATATGTAGAACTGGAACCCCTGAGAACAAAACCTGAAGCCAATGTTACTATAGTTTTTGCAACAACCCAAGAAAATGGTGTATTAATGTACGATGGACATCAAGAACATTTAGCTGTTGAGTTATTCAATGGAAGGATTAGAGTGAGTTATGATATTGGAAACTACCCTGTTTCAACCATGTACAGGTAAGAGTCAGAAAAACTATAAGCGGTAGAGTTGACAATTTCTGTAAAATCATTACTTTTTTTTCAGTTTTGAAATGGTCTCTGACGGGCAGTATCACATTGCTGAATTAATTGCAGTCAAGAAAAATTTTACTTTACGTGTAGATAGAGGATTGGCAAGGAGCATAATCAACGAAGGATCTAAGGAATACTTGAGGTTGACAACTCCCATGTATTTGGGAGGTATTCCTCCGGAACCTGGTCTAGAGGCTTTCACACAATGGCATTTGCGAAACTTGACTAGTTTTTATGGTAAGTGTCAATATACGTGGTTATTCATTAAAAAAGACAAAAACATTGTTCTTCAAATGGAGAGAATGAAACTTCATTGTATAAGTTTTTCAATACTCTATCCACTACTGGTTTATTTTTTTATTTCAGACCAAGCGATACTGTTTTATTACCAGTTTTATATAATTTTTATATTTGTGGTAATTTCGTTGCCTATCTATCAGTTTGGATAATTCTCATCCAGCCATGCTGCAACCAACCCGTCATAATGAGGGACGCACCATCTTTCTAAAACATAACATCAGTTGAAAACTCATTTGGGTTTGCATGAACTATTTTTCAGGTGCAAATCCTATTTATTAAATGTTCCGATAGAATATAGACAAAATTACTAGAGAAACACNTTGCTAGGAACCCATTCATTTGCGACTGCAACTTAAAATGGCTGGCGGAATACTTGCATCGAAATCCCATAGAGACTTCAGGCGCAAGATGCGAAACGCCGAAACGAATGCAGAGGAGAAGGATCGAATCTCTGAAGGATGAAAAGTTCAAATGTAAGGGTAAGCACCTTTCCACTTTGATCAGTGGTTATGGTGTCTCATTTAACATTCATCATTTCTAATAATGCTGTTCATAAAGCTTCTTTTATTTATTTGATATTTGGTTTCATCTCATTTTCATTATGTTGTGTTCGTAGCTAGGGCAGATTCTATTTCATTTTCAAATTCTTAATATTACTCTGCATAGAGTACTCATATATTTGTATAATTTCTAGGACAATATTAATATCTGCAACAATTTTTTTATTGTATTTCAACAAAGTCAAAGAGATCAATAATACACAATAAACTCTAAGGAGTGTACTGCAGAGAAAAGGACTGTGAGGAGTAAGGGCTTATTAACAATTTGTATTATTTTATTTTCTGGTAATTATAAAGAACAGTTCTAACCTTAAATCTTGAGTGAAGTCGATAATAATGAATGTTATTTTATATATTTGAATATGTCAAAACAACATATCTACTGAAAAAATTGTTCAAATTTGTGTTAAGTAAACCAATTGACAGCAATTGAAAAAACATTTTTTTGAGAATTACAGGCCCATCACTTTGCTGAAATTTTTATAAAATTCAGAAGTTGATCACTAAAACACACTAAAACTTTGTATATTCTATTAGTAAAAAGTAT